CTCAGTGTGCTTTTTTCCCATTTCCTTTGACAGATTTTGCATTTTTGAATTTTAATCCTATTTGATTTGACCTATTATCTTATTTAGTTTCTCTGTGGGCTGTGATGTTTCGCACTATAATGTTCCCTTTTAAAAAATCTGATTGAATGCATTTTTAAAATTATGAAAAGTGTGACTTTTATTTGGTTTGTAGGTTCTCCCTGGTCTTTGCCACATCCTTTTTGTCTTTCTGGGTCACTTTCTTTTAGAAAATTCTCGTACATAACTGTATTGTAATGGGTTCCTCACAGAGCATAGCCGGAGACAAAATCTTCCTTGCTGCTCCTGTACTAGGAGTGCGATCCCAGGGGAGAAGAGCAAACCTAAGGGTGCCATACGACCTGGTCACCACTTGGAACTAAGAGCGGGTGCTTGTCTGATCTTATGCAACCGTCTTCCAAGGGGCCGTTTCAACTGTGTTTCATCACAGTCTGTATAGAGAGAGAAAGGAGGAAGGATTTATCTGCCAGCTTTGGTCAGAGGTTCTCTCCACAGCTGTTAACTCCTGTGCACTTAAATGCTATATGAGCTCCAGTGCCCAGCGGGCCCTGGCGTCTCCTGCTTCAGCATCAGCAAGGGTGCCCCAGGGCAAGAGCAGGGAGAGAAGTGGCACAGGAGGGCTTGCGGCCCTGTTGGGTTGTACCCACGTAAGTGAGTCACACGCACATGGTTTGCCATCTCAGCAACAGCTGGAATGGAACAAGCAACTGTCACCTTACAGTCAGCTGCTGAGCCTGACAGCAGTTTCCCTGGAAGCTGCAGAAGATGAAAGTCTCCTTAAAAAACAGCCACAAAGCGCCCCATGGCCTTTATGTATCCCTTAAGCTGGCCATTAGCCGCCCTGAGCCTATGATTTTGTTTTCTGCAAGGTTTCCAATGTTGTTAATGAAGTCAGCCTACTCTGCGTTTCCTAGGATTATCATGGCCCCGTACTGATCAGACGCTAGAGGCACCCCATTTCCCAGCACAGCTTCGCCTTCCGCCTGTGCCTCACCCTAATTAACCACAGATGAAAACCGTAGTAATTTTGATGCCACTTCATGCCAAGGGTTATCGCCACCTAGTAATAGTGGCCTTATTGCCATCAGAACAATTGGTAATCCAACCACGGTCCCATCCTGGGCGTCTTCTTTGAAGGACCACCCTTGGGACCCATTGTCTTAGGGGGCAAGTGGTGCCATATGGTCGTGAAGTGAGGTGCAGAGGGTTGTTTTTGGGTGAAATCAGTTGGAGCCAGAGCACAGCTGGTCCCCATAGAGAGTCTAGGACAGAAGAGGGCAACGGCCCGATTGGCACACGAGGGACAGAGGCTCTGATGCGGTGGTAAGAGATGTCTGGTACAAAGGCATAGCATGGATTTTCTTTCCAAATGAGGCTTGCCTTATTTGCATTTATTGATGTAATATGATGGATAGTTCCGTTCTTATTCAGGCATCTTATTTCATGTTATGCTTTCTCTCTTGAGTGCATTCTTTGTTTTGTATCCTTGACTCTGTGGTGTCTGTGTATGTTTTCTGCACATTATTTCACTGCGTTTTTTGGCAAACCGGTACTTTATTTCTTCTGGAACCACCAGACTTTGTCAAGGCAAAATGTGTCACATGTGCTAAGAAGTGATCTGATGCATAAAACCTACGACTGCATCACACATGCACTCCTCGTTGGTTTTACTGTTATGTATTTGTGCCCTACAAGAATCCCAATAAGTTCCGTTTTGCCCAGTACCCATTGAAAGAGAAAAAAAAAAGTTAACATGCTTATAATTACATGCACAGCCTTAGCGAGAACATTCCTGAACAAAGATCCATTCTGACCAGGGTTAATGAGAACCAAATCCTCTGCTCACGTTTTTACCTGTCTAATTTTGATAACCTGTCTGCATTTCTACACACCAGCTTCTGGCCCCTTCTGTTTCACACCTTGGGCCTTCTCCACTCCCCGTAGACCTCGTTGCCAGGCACTGTGAAGCATGTTTCCGTTGTGCTATGACCCACTTGCCCTGGTCCTTTGGGCCCCACACTATGCGCCCCACACCAGATGAGTCAGTGAGGTGGGTAGCGCACTCTCATGCCCGCAAAGCCGGCAAAAACTGAATCACAGGTGGGCAAGACTACAGACCACATAAACCTATTTCTTATTCCTGAACTTGTCATGGGATGGAGGGGCCCAAAGCTTAAGCGGCCTCCGTGTTGTACCTCCTGGTTTATCATTTCATATAGACATCCATGACCTGCAAATAGGTGTAAGAAAGTCCAGAAAAGATGTTTTTTTCCCCATGATGATTGATGCTTTTTAGGAAACAAATATCAAAACTTAAAAAAAAAAGATGTTTGCTTGTTCTTTTAGGCTCCGTCTTGCTGACGCCTGGTCTGCTGATGGTACTAATGGGGTGAAGTCACAGAATCCGATAAGAAGATTACTTTTCCTGAGAAAGGATATTTTCGGGTAGAACTTTCTGCAATTAATGAAACGTTCTGTATTTGTGCCACCCAAAATGGTAGCTGCTAGCCACGCGCTGTTGGCTATTGAGCACTTGAAATGTGCTAGTGAGACTGAAGAATTGAATTTTAAGTTTTATTTAGGTTGAATTCATTTAAATTTAAATAGTTACATGTGGCTAGTGGCTGCCATCTAAGGCAGTGAGGGTTTAGATCCATTGGAGGGGGATGATGATGCAGAGAGGGGAAGGAGGATGGGGGTACACCAGTCACTTAGTTGTGACAGCCTGGGGAGTTTATTTTTTAAGCCATTTTATTGGGGTATGATTGACATACAAAAAACTGTAGATACTTAATGTGTATAACTGGAGTTTGGAGATAAGTTTATGCCTGTGAAACCATCACCATAAACATAACCCACCACCTCCAAGTTTCCGCCTGCTGAGCTCTTAATTATTATTTTGGGTGTGATAAGAATGCTTAACCTAAGACCTACCCTCTTAGTAAATTTTTAAGTATATAATACAGTATTGTTAACTGTAGGCACTATGCTACACAGTAGATAGGTCTTACTCAGCTTGAATACCTGCAACTTTGCGCCCTTTGACCACTGCCCCCCTTTCCCCCCATCTTCCCAGACCCGGCTACCACCATTCCACTCCCAGCTTCGATGAGTTTTGCCTATTTTAGATTCTCTATGTAAATGAGGTCATGCAGTATTTGTCTTTCTGTGTCTGGTTTTTTTCACTCCCAGGTCCATTCATGTTGTTGCAAATGGCAGGGTTTCCTTATTTTTTAAGGCTGAATAATATCCCATTGTATGTAGACACCACATTTCCTTTTTCCATTCATCCACTGACAGACATTGAAGTTGCTTCCATGTTTGGCTAATGTGAATAATGCTGCAAGGAACATGGGGGTGCAGATGTCCCTTTGAGATCTGATTTCAATGCCTTTGATGTGTACTCAGAAATGGGATTGCAGGGTCACATGGCAATTGTTTTAGTTTTTTGAGGTATTTCCACAGTTTTCCATGGTGGCTGCACCAATTTACCTTCCGACCAACAGTGCACAAGGGTTCCCTTTTCTCTATGCTTACTAACATTTATCTTCGGTCATTTTGATAAGGACCATTCTAACAGGTGTGAGGTGACGGCTCACTGTGATTTTGACTTGCATTTCCTTGATGATTACTAATGTTGAATGGTTTTTCATACAGTTGTTGGCCATTTGTATGTCTTCTTTGGAGAAAAAGTTCCTTTGCGCATTTTTTAATCTGGTGGTTTTTTGCTATTGAGTTATAGGAATTTCTTATATCAGCCTAGGAAGTTTTGAAGAGAGAATCAAGGACAGTTCTAGGCAGAAAGCTTCCCATGAGGGCTCTTCTATGTCCTTCCTGCTTAGACTTTTAGGGAGCAGCCTGGTAGGCCAAACATGGGGGTGGGGCTGACTAATCCAGTAGACACAATGCTTAGGACTTACAAAAATGTTTTCTTTTAATATCAGAAGACAAGAAGAATGTTTAGGCCAAAGAAAATGTTTTAGTATATAATATCAATAAATTCATGTTTATGTTAACCCAGTCATAAAACATAACTGAAAAACATTTTAATGGAGGCAGGAGCCCTTGTAAAAAAAAAAAGAGCCCAGGATTCACAAAAGTCATGTTGCGTATGTGGGGGAGATGGTGCTCTAGCACCTACAGCTCATTGTCGGCTTGGATACCTGGGAAGGCACCTATCTGGCCACCTCCCCGTTGACTGCTCCCTCAGAGGCCACACCTGGATTCCACGAGCGGGTCCACCTGCCCTTCTCAAACAAGAGAATAAAGGCTCTCCAACAACTCCGGGGGCAGGACAGACCAAAGCACCCAGGCTTGGAAAATGCACCCCTAGACTGTTAAAGATGTGTGCAAAAGGCAGTAGGCAGCTGGGTAGAGGTCCAGCTATACTAAAACCAAGAACTATCATGGAAGACGAAGAAGGGCAATACTATGTTCAAGAGTGAGTTTGTATTAATGTTTACAACCTCTGATACTGACTCCATTTTCCCGAGGAGTATGCATGGGCTCAGAGAGGTTGAAGACCTTGCCCACGCTCACACAGCTAGAATTCAAACCCTCGTGTGTCGCTGATGTGACACGCAAGTCTAGGCTCCTTCCTCACAGATCCCTTGAACTCCTCTCTGTCATCGTGGGACCCGAGGCGGGACATAAAGTGCAGCTTCTGTGCTGACCACCGCCCCTGACCTCCCCGAGGGCTGTTCCCTTTTCTCCATTCCTGCTCCCTGGAAACCCATCCTTCCAGAGCTAATCCTATAGGATCTCTGGGCCTCAATTTCCCCTTTGTGAGTATATTGGGGCAGTAGTTTCCCTCTAGTAACAAGGAAGAGGGAGAGAAAAAAGAAGGACGTACCCCGCGTGGCCCGTGCTAAGGCCCCCGCCCCACCCTGGGCGCACGGGTGCGGCGAGAACGCGGAGCGGGCCCTTTAAGTCCCGCCGGGAACGCGGGCCGCGCCCCGCCCAGGCCCGCAGCCCGGAAGCGCCCTCCCCGCCGGAGCGGCGGCCGCGGGAGGATGAGCCGCATCTACCAGGACGGCGGCCTCCGCAGCAGGCCGGTGCGCAGCGCGCGGCTGCCCGGGGCCTGGGACCCCGCCGCCCACCAGCGGTAGGCCCCGCCGCCTCCGCGCGCCCCGCCTGGGGAGGGGCCGGGTGCGGTGGGCAGGGCGGGCCGCCCCAGGCGCCCCCTCCCGCCGCCCGGGCCCACCCACAAGGCCGCCTTCGGGCGGAGGCTCTCGGGCTGTCGCACCCACGGGAGGGCGTCTCGGCCCGACTCCCACCAGCCCCGAAGGCTGCGACCTTGGTGGCTACCCCAGCGCGGGGATTGTAGCTGCGGCCCCTGCCCCGCTGCCCTCGCACGGGCCGCCTCCCCGGCCCCCCTCCCGAGGGACAGTGGTGTGGAGTCGGTCTGGCCGGGCCGCTGTCGGGGCCTGCCCGGAGGGGGACTTGGGTCCGGAGCGCCAGGCCCCGTCCTCACGCACGCGGCGGTTCCGAGAACCCAGGGGCGGTGCCGGTTCCAACCGCGCCAGGGTTGGGGGGAGCTCGCACCAAGGACGGTGGGGCTGGTGTTCACTTTTCACCCTCATCCCTGCAGCCATCCTCACCCCTCCCCCATTTCCGTGGTTCCAGAAAAGGAAGCCCCCAGGTTCTGCTTTATGAAAACCAGAATCGGGAAGCTCGGGTCCAGTTCCTCCCAGTTGGGGAGACCGCGACCTTGGGCGAGGCACAAAACTCCCGAGCCTGGGTCTCTCCATTTCCAAAGTGGACATGAGTGAGAACAGGAGTATAAACGTGCTTTAAAACAGGTGAAAGGGGAAGATACCTATAGCGGTTTAGATGCCCCTCCCCCCAAACTTGGTTAAATAAAAAATAAAATCCTTTATATTTAGTAAGCACTTAATATCTTACAGAACACCTGCACATACATGATCTTAGGTCGTCATCCTAGAAACAGCAGAGGCTCTTGTGACAGTGACGCCGCAGCAGGGCCGAGCTGGGTCTCCCGGCCTGACATGGCTCCGCCTCACCCAGCCCTTGGGACCCCCAGGGGAACAGAGGCCCCAGGCAGGAGGCACAGAGAAAGGGCTGCCCAGGACCCGGCCTTCCAGGGACCCAGTGGGTAAGAGTCGCCCGGAGGACTTGGTTCTGTCCCAGTGTCGACTCTCAGTCTGGGCAGCCGGCCTGTGGTTCTTTCCTGAGGGCTGAGAACCAACTGTTCCCTCTTTCCCTCTCCTCCCCAGGGGAAATGGCGTCCTGCTGGAGGGAGAACTGGTGGATGTTTCTCGGCACAGCATCACGGATGCCCACGGCAGGAAGGTGAGGAGGTCTCCTTGGGGCCGCCTGCAGGGCACCCACTTCACGGCTCTCACCCATCAGGGCGCCTGCCGTGCCTGGTTCTGCCAGGGACAAGACTTGAGGCCCAGCTCTTTTCTTGAGGCCTCACAGGGCAGGTGGGAGGTAAATCAGGAGATTAGCAGCCGAAAGGAGCCACGGAGTAAAAGGGATCGGTTAGGGCTGTGCTGGGCGGGGGTCAGACAGGAGGGCCCGGGTTCTTGCTACGAAGACAGACAGATCAGGCCTCAAAGCCAAAAGATGTGACCAGGAGGGTTCGGGACTGAGGCTGTGGGTGCCGAGCGGGCAGGAGAGCCAATCGAAGAGGTCCTGTCACCTTCTTGTGGAACAGATTTAGCAGCCGGGAGGCTTGGGCAGGACGAGAGGCTCTGTATTCTGGGAGGGCTGAGTGTCCAGGCACCTGTCCTCCAAGCGCCCAGTGTTGCTCGAGCATGCGCGCGGGACCTTGGCGTCCCTTGAAGTACCCATCCCAGACTTCACTACTACTCTTCCTGCACCCTAATTCCCGCAGCTGCGGGCTTCTCCGCCGTTTGAGACCTTGCCGTCCCGTTTCTCTCGGGAGGTGGTTTCCTCTTCCGCCTGTAGGGGCATTTCATCTACCTGCTGCGGTTAGAAGTGTCACTGCAGCGCACTGCATGCTTCACACTGGGCTGGCTCCTTCGTTAGCTACTGAACCCTCACAACACTCCTGAAGGTAGAAGATATCCTGTCCCCCTGTGGCAAGGGAAACAGGCCAGGAGTGATTGGGCTCTGGTCCTACATCTGGAAGAGGCGCAATGGCTGCCCTCGCTCAGAATTCCCTTTCGGTGTCCTTGCCGTGGCGCTGTGGCCGCTTCCACTCCTGCTTCGTGCTGTAGGGGTCCTTGGTGCCTGTGTTAGGGTTTTCTACACACTTTCTGCCTCTGGCTGTGTGCAGGCCTGGTGGTCAGGGCTGGCCCTCCCATGGACGTCTAGCTCGGTTCATCAGTGGGGCAGGCACCCCACTAGGAAGTACATGAATGGATGGGTGGGTGGATGGATTGACGCTGGAGGGGGCATCTTCCCAGCTTGAAGGTCTTTTGGCGCTGAGGTGGGATTCCAGGGTGGGGAGTGAGGGTGGGGAGGGCTGCAGCCGAAGCGGGGGACAGTGAAGCAGCCCCTCCTCTCCCCGCCCGGCCCCAGGAGCGCTACCACGTGCTGTACATTCGGCCTACTCGCATCCATCGCCGTCAGTTTGACCCCAGGGGAAACGAAATCGAGCCCAACTTCAGCGCCACCAGGAGGGTGAACACAGGCTTCCTCATGTCATCCTACAGTAGGTATCTTCCCCCCTTTCTCCCTCACGGCCCCCCTGCACTGTGGCCTGCCTCTGTCTCTAGGGGTCACTTGGCTGCTAGAAAGAGTTTTTTCAGCAGGTTGGCCTCAAAGCCCATGTCTGGCCTTAGAATCTTTCCTGGACTCTTTCTGTGCCCCATTCACTCAGGCTCCCCAGGCTCCCCCCAGCCGCAAGCGCCTAGCTGGCCCCTCCACCTTGCCCCGTCCTGCAGTCTGGCAGAATCATCCATGAACCTGACTCTGAGCATTCACTGTCTTTGTGCAGAGCCCAGGCCAGTCTCCCAGTGGCCTCCATTTTCTGCCAAAATTCTCATTTGGTTCTTGGGCCCTCTGCGATTTCATTCCTTTTCCCGGTTCTGGCTGTAGAAGGACTGCTCTGCGGCCTGTCCCTGTGTGAGGAGGTGTCGAGGTTGGGTGGGAACCCATCCTTCCCTCTTATTTTATTCATGGCTGCTTTCAGTTGCCCATTAATCCCTGACCACTTAGTGAGCATCGGCCGTGTGCCGCCTGCTGGGGGTCCAGGGATGAACAAGGCTGCCCTCAAGGTGTTCGCAGTCTGGTAGAGGAGAGGGACAGGCCAGTGCCTGGAACCTGGGGGTTGGCTCTGAGCCCAGGCAGGCATGGTTGGGGGGCACCCGGGAGGAGGGAACATCAGTACTGCGTCCCAAAGGATAAGCAGGAATCAGCCTGGTGCCAGGGCTTGGAGGGGCATTTCAGAGAGGGGGTGGTGGGCTAGTGGCATTCCAGGGGCTGCGGGCTCCCCATGCAGGTGCACAGAGGCCGTGCAGGGAGGACAGCGTGAGGGGCCGGGTGGAGAAGGGCCCCAGAGGGGGCTTTGAAGGTATAGGAATCCTGTAATGAGTGGTTTTAAGTAGGGGAGTGATGTGATTAGGATTGTTTTTAGAAGTCCCTGGGGAGGTGAATAGATTGGAGGGCAGGAGACCTGTTAGGAGCTGTGATGGCAACTGGCGGGGGGAGATAAGAGGGCCAGGATTGGGGGCCTGACAGTGCTGATGGAAGACGAGAGAGGCTGGAGATAGAGCAAGACCAGTGGCCTCAGTGTGTGCTTGGATATGGGGAGGAGGAGGGAGGAGGCAGGGTGACCCCCGGGCTGGGGCTTGGGGACAGGCTTGGGGGGAGGGGGGAGGTACACGGGGAGCGGGGCTAGGGAGAAGAGTTCCGGTGGGACACATGGTGCACTTCTGGAAGAGGGAGGTGGCCACTGAGGACTGGGACGCGCAGTTCTGGCGGCTCACCGGAGTGACTGGCACTGTTGTGTTGAAGCTGGGGAGCTAGATGAAGTCGCCAGGAGGTCACCTGGGGGAGCCACCGTTGGAGGTGGCCAGGGAGGGCATCCCGTAAGGAGAAGGAGCCGCCAGAGAGGTCCGAGGGAGACAGGGAGGGTGAGTGTCTCTGAGGGCCCGCGAAGCCCAGGGGGCAGAGGGAGGACGCGGCAGCGGGGTCGGGTGCTGCCCAAGGCCCGGTAAGCTTGGACTGTGGGGCCGCCAAGGGCTGCCCAGTGAAGAGCTCCCCGGTGACCGGTAGGGTGGGAGAGCTCTGGTGTAGCGGGAGTCAAAGCCAGGAGGGGAACAGGAAGGCGTTGAGGACAGATCTGAGTGGAGAGGGAGAGGCAGGTCCCCGGGGAGGCGGGACGGGGTGGGATCTGCAGCCCAGCTGGAGGTCCTGGCTGAGGCTGGGGACACCTTGTCCCTGGAGATAGAAGGGGCGGAGGAGGGGCTTCAGGTGGTCATAGATAAACCGATGGGGAGGCGATGGTTCCACCTCTGGCTTCTGGCATTTTGGAAGCCGGGCTGAGGTGGTTTGTCTGCGAGGTGTCGGGTGGGGTGAGGGCTCAAGAGAAGGGAGCCGCTTGGAAGTCCTGGGTGTGAGTGTGTCGGGGCTCGGCAGAGGTTCTGTCCTGCGTGTGAGTGTGTCGGGGCTCGGCAGAGGTTCTGTCCTGCGTGTGAGTGTGTCGGGGCTCGGCAGAGGTTCTGTCCTGGGTGTGAGTGTGTCGGAGCTCGGCAAGGGTTCTGTTCCAGGTGTGGGCTCTGTGGCTCTGGGCTCTGTGGCTCGCTGGCTGTTCTCCATCAGAGCTGGGCCCGGGGGGGTTGGCGTGGAGAACACAACCACCTGGACAGCTCCAGAGTTGCTGTGCTGAGGGACGGGGCACCTCTGTGCAGACTTGGGCCTTGTGAGTGCCCCCAGCCCTGCGGGACCTCACCTCTCAGTCTGGACCCCCGCCCCACCCAGGGTCTGCAGATGTGGGGCCTTTAGGGTGTCAGGTGAGGCTGTTGGAATCTTCCCTGAGCCTCTGCCCTGCAGGGCCAGGGTGAGCCGTCCAGCAGAGAGCGTGGGGACCACTGGAGTTGGCAGCTGGTTCCGGCCGACTCCACCGCAGCCATGGAGACCCTGGAGAGAACCCTGCTGGTCACTGGGGTCTCCACGGGAGGGCAGGAGTGTGTAGAGGGTTGAATCCTGCCTGGCTGTGTGACGTCGGGCAAATTGCTGAGCCTCTCTAAGCCTTGGCCTTATGATCTGTAAAGTAGGAGTAATGCAAACACTAATACCCAGGGTTCACTGTGTGCCAGCCTCTGTGCTAAGTGCTTTACGTGTATTATTTTATTTACACCCCATGAGAGTCCTGTCAGGGAAGCATTTTTATCCCTATCTGTCAGGCACAGAGAGATTAAGGAACTTGCCTGAGGTCACCCAGCTTATGAGCAGATTTGTACCAGGCATCCAGCCTGGTTCCAGAGTCTGTGTGCCTGACGCCTCTGCCAGGGATTCCTTGATGAGTGCTGGCAGGATGGGTGCTCAAGTCCTACTGCAGGTGGCTGTGAGCATGTAGAAACACCCAGCCCTCACCTGACTCCCAAAAGGCCCTCCTGCCTGTGTGATAACCCTTGTGTGCTGTGTGCCTGCAGAGGTGGAGGCCAAGGGGGACACGGACAGACTGACACCCGAGGCACTGAAGGGTCTGGTGAATAAGCCAGAACTGCTTGCGCTGACGGGGAGCCTCACCCCTGACCAGACAGTGGCCTTCTGGATGCCTGAGTCGGAGATGGAGGCACTGGAGTTCGAGCTGGGGGCCGGGGTGCGGCTGAAAACACGAGGCGACGGCCCCTTCCTGGGTGAGCAGTGCAGCCTGATGGCAGGTGTGGCCCAGTGTCCTCAGGTGGCCTCCTGCCTGAGGCTCCCCCGCCCGTCCTGTGTAGAGCTCATAGGAGCCGGCCAGGCCTGGCCTCTGTGGGGACCTGACTCCGTGGATTCTATCCCTAAGTCCCTGGGCAAGTGCCCTGTGGTCAAAAACTTGGACACTGCGGATCCTGGGGTGCCCGATCCTGTGGTTCCTGAGGGAGACCTGTTCTATCTAGTGCCTTGGGGGGTCCCACCCACCCAGGGTCTCCCTGGTCACACCCAGGCTGAAGAGAACAGTGGCTTACCCCAGGCCTAGGGGACCTCAGCAGATGGGCCAGCCCCTGCTGTGTTTCTGCTACAGGGAGAGAGGCCATTCAACTAGCTCTCTTCTTTCAGATTCATTAGCCAAACTTGAGGCTGGAGCAGTGACCAAGTGTAATTTTGCTGGTGATGGAAAGATGGGGTCATCCTGGACAGACAACATCCTGGCCCAGAAGTCTTGCGAAGGGGCGGACGTGAAGACCCGAGAGCAGGGAGACGGGGCAGAGGACGAGGAGTGGGTAGGTCGAGGGAGACGACTGGGACTGCGGCGTCGCTGGTTTGGCCCCTGGTGGGAGTTCTGCGTGTGCTGGCTGTGGGTGGGTGGAGGACAAGGAGCCAGCAGCATGGGTTACCCGCCTGCTTTGGTGGGATTCCGTGGAATTCCTGAGAGTGTGTTAGCATCAGAAAAATTCCTTCAAGGCATGCAGGGTAACACCCTGGGACCTTTCTTTTTGGTGGGTCTGAACTGTGCCAATCTACAAGAAAGCCCCACAGGTTTATAAACATGAGGGATGGGGAGAATGGAGTGCACAGGGGAGCCAGTGAGACCGAATGTCATGAAGTCCCCCAAACATTTCCACTGCACGTGAACGCATTAGCCATTTCAGGCAGTGGAGCAGCTGAATGGGCGTTCCCCCCCCCCCCCTTTGTTCTGGGCTTCCTGCCCAAAGTGGCTGGAAAACGGCTGACTTTGTCCTTACTGGTTCTCTTTTTGCCAAGGGTCAGCCCCCTAGTTGATGCTCAGCCTGTGCACAGTTGATTTGTTTTTCCGAGGAATATTTCACCTAAAGGTTTGATGTCAAAAGGCCCCAAATTGAACACTTAAAACAAGTCACAGAAAAATGGGTTACTTACCCAGGTGACCAAGAAGATGACGTTTGCTAGAGAAAGCAGGGCCGGGTAGAGTAGAGTCTGGATCCCCTTTTGTCTTAATGAAGTGAGTCTTGGACTGAAAAACAACTGGAGCTGCCAGGCCAGCTGCCTGGGCCACAGCTCTAAGGAGGAGGCCAAGGGCCCCACCGCTACCACTTAATCAAACCCTTACTTGATGACTTACAAAATGCTTTCATGAAATGTGCCCTGTTCATTTCTCTTCTCTTTACCCCCTAGGATGACTGAGATTGGTGGGCGATGGGGAGCCTTCCAGCCCACCCACCACCGTTGAGAATTTCTTCCATCGACTTCCACTCTGGAGATGGAGGGAGAAGTCTGCCAATGCCCAGCCTTACCTGGTTCCCCCCTCCAGCCACCGTGGAGTACGCGTTGAACAAGCTCTGCTAAAATCAAACCTGGACCGTGTTAGCAGTGGGGCCCCATGCTGTGGCTCTGGAGGGTCTCTCCCTGGGTGGTGGGTGGAGGACAAGGAGCCAGCAGCATGGTTTACCTTGTGGGTCTAGCTTTCCTAGACGGTGTCCTGGTGACCCTTGCCTTGAGTGTGAGCCTTCCTTCTGGAGGCAGGCAGGGGGTGAGTCCCCAGGGCATTCAGAGCAACTGCACTTGGTCTTGGTGCAGGTCAGGGAGTACCCCTCATCGACATGCAGAGTGGCTTGGAGGAAAAGTTCTCTGTGGCTCCCCACTCTGCTCGCATCTCCTGCTCTCCCTTCACGTCAGCCTCCTCCCCGGCGCTGGGCTGTGGCCCCTGTGCTCCGGCTCAAGCCGTCTTGTCCCCTGCCCCATCCTTTCCTTTCCCTGGAGCTGTCAGTTCTTTTTTCTTCCTTGGTTCTCTGCCACCCTGGGGGTTCCTGCCTCCTGACTACTTCCCTGGGCATGGTGTCCTCAGGGAGGGCTAGAGGAGCCTCAGGTGTGGCTGGCTGGTCCGCATCTCTCAGGCTCACTCTGCCAGGCCACATTTTTGATATTTTGTTTCTGTTATGTATCTTTAGAACTTTATATGATTGGCTAAATCTTCAGAAAAGGATTCCTCTACACTGACTGGGTATTTGTCGGGTGTAAACAGCCTTCCAGCTGAGCAGTGTCCCTAGAAGGCAGCCATTGCTTTTTGCTCATGAACATTGCCTTGCTGGGTGCTGTGCCCACACCCAGATCTGTGAAGAGAGCTAGAGGTGAAATCTGCGGGTCCCAAGAAAGGGTAGGGACTCGGTGGCATGTGGATCCTGCTTGCCTCAGAAAAGAAGGGGTGGTGGAGTCCCCTAATGCAGCCAACAGCACTAGAGGCTTCCCACGGTAAGTGTGACTGCTGACTGTTGAGTTCCTCCTGGTGTCAGCAGAGGTATCCCCTGCTTTTCAAAAGTCTGCATTACTCCACTTCCCTTTATGAAAGCCTTAACATTAGTACATGCCTGTTTTTACTAACCAAAAGAAAATCTGAAGAGCATTTTTGCTTTTAAGAGAAAAGGTTAAAAACAAAAGTAGTGTTCAGTGTTTGTTTTGCAACAACTTCTAGAGGCAGGGGGCACCCCCAGCCGTGAGAGGGGTCTCGCCAAACTCCTTCCCCTCAGCACCTCAGCATCACGCAGCCATAGCTTTGAACTGTACCTGAGCATCTGTGCTTTATCTCGATTTATTTTGCACTGTTAGCAAGCTGTGTCCTAGGGTACCAGAAAAGCCTAAGAGAGGTTATTTTTTGAGTCTGGGAATGCTCAAAAATTTTTCCATATAAATTGTAATTGCTTCTTCACTCTACGCCGTTTCAGCTTAGGGAAGTTTCCATAGGAATGCTCCGCTTTAAGATAGCAGGGGAAACTTAACAGTCAGGTTTCGAAGTCCACGTTCTTAACTTCAAGATTATTCTGCTTTCACGTGTATACTGCAGAAGAGAAAAGGGCCCCAGAAAGGTTAAGGCAAGGGTCATAACTGCTTATGTTCAAATTGCCCAGAGTCACACAGCTAATAAGCAAAGGTTATACTCCTTCCTCTGTCCCCTGCTTCCTCGGCCTACAGAAGGGCCTTGCACACAGGGACCAGAGATGGCCCTGGCCTTGCGAAGCAGGGTTACATTCCCAGACTTAAGGAACCTGCCTAGATCTTTGACTCTTGATCTGAGCTCCATGATATGGCTGTGAGGCTTGGGATTCACGCTTCAGTTACGCCATCTGAAGTCATGGTTATGGGGCTCTTCTGCTCTTGTCGCCCTTTTTCAGTTCAGACCACCTTGCCCCTCTCACCCCGGCTATTGTGGACGCCGCCTTCTGGTGTCCTGTGTGAGTGGGGCTGGCTCACTACGGAGCATGCTGGGCCTCAGTCATGGGGTGGCCAAGGGGGTGGTTAAGCAGAAGGACTGGGGGACACTGACTGGGTAGAGGGACCTAGTGAGGGCACTGTGCTGCCCAAAGCCCTGTGGCCAGAGGGTATGGCAGGCTCAAATGGGCAGGCCATCATTCCAAACAAGGAGGTCCAGGGTGTCAGTGCGCCAAACCCAGGGCTTTGAAAGGGCTTGGTGTCTTCGGGCAGCTCCTAGAAGGAAACGGCTGCTGTGACTGCAGCTCAAAGGATGGGCGGAGGTGGAGGCACGTTTGAGATGAGGCTGGAGGTTGGGCGTGGCATTTTCAGCATGTTAAGTATTTGGGGACTTTGTCCTTAACTTCCTGGAAGCCAGGGATCCCAGGGAGAGTGGTAAGATCTGATTTGTGTACTTCAAAGATTGCTTGACTACAGTGAAACGGAAGGCAGTGAGCATAACTAGGAGGCTGCTGCAGTTGTCAGGGTGAGAGACTGGAATGGTTTGGTCTGTAGCAGTCGGGGTGACAATGGAAAACAATTCAGGTAGACAGAGAAGGGAAGGGACTTTGCAGCAAGAGAAAAGCCAAGGGGCGGCAGTGGCCTGCTCCTGGGACGTGTGCAACTTCTGTATACGGTTGTTGTGATAATAAACCTAACCGTAAAATTTGATAATCCTTTTTCAATTACTGTTACACAATCACTTTCCATATTGCTACATAGTCTTCATAACCAGTGCTTAAAGGTTGGCTACCATTTAATAGCTGTTATTCTCCACTTTTGGGATAATTAATTGATCCCTATTTAGAGCTAATATAATTAATATGTCAAATACTGTTGTAAATGATATAGTTCCCTCAATCTCACCCAACCACCCGCCCACAAGTCACACATACACACACATTATATTTTTGGGTTATTTCTTTAGGGACAGATTCCCAGGAGTCAGATGATTGGGAATCTAGGAATTTTTGAAAAAGGTTTTGTTACCTTGTTTTCCAAAAGGGTTGTTCTAAATTACACTTTCAAAAACAATGTAGGAGGACCATTTTCATGCTATCCTTGCCAGAACTGGGTATAACACTTAAACATTTTTTTAAAGTATCACGGATAAACAATCTTACAGAGGTTTCACATGAACAACATTGTGGTTTCAACATTCACCCATATTATCAAGTCCTCACCACCCTCCACCCCCACCCAGTCCCTTTGCAATCACTGTCTACCAGTGTAGTAAGATGCTATAGAGTCATTACTTGTCTTCTCTGTGCTATACTGCCTGGGTATTATGACATTTTTAGAAATTATATTTGATAAGGTGAAAGTAATGCTTTAATTTTTATTTTAAAGTTAATACTTTAATTGGTCTTTCCCATTAAGAGGGATTGTAAACATTTTTCTCATGTTAATTTCCTGTATGTATTTCCCCTTTTGTCTACTAGGGAGGAGGAGGTTTTTTTGGTTTATCAGACTTATTTATATTTTACATATAACCATTTGCCATAGTTTAGCAACTTCTTTCCATTTTTAAAAATTGATTTTACAAACAATCTTTATATGGATATAGCTGTTAACTTTTTTTGTGACTTTTGTTGGCTTTTAAAAAGCTTATATTCTCTTTTCAGATGTTAGATACTCAATTTCATTTTCTCCCATTTTGGTTACCTGGTTTTATATTTAATTATTTAATCCATTCTGCCTTTAATTTGTGGGAAGGTATGAAGTGAGGTAATGAAATTGCTTGTTTTCAAGTTGCTAACCAGTTACCCCAACATATTTGTTGAATTCCTTCCCACTGTCAAGTTATGACTTCTCCTGCATCACATATTAAAGTTATTGGTACTTAAATTATCCATTATATTTCAGTGAGTCTCCCTGTAGTGACAATCTTAAGTATCATAGTAGACTTTAATAGTTGGTAGAGCTAGGTCCCCATCATTATTCTTCTGTTTTAGAATTTTCTTTCATATTTCTGTTCAACATTTGGAACATTTTATCAAGTTTCAGTGCATACTTATTGCCTTTGGATTTTTTAAAGTTAATAAACTAATAAATCAAACTTATATTTTAGAAAATTAAAAAGTACATGTAGTTCTACTACTTAAAAAATCACTTACATAGTAATCCATTACATGCCATGCACTGCTCCAAATAATTAAAAATATTAATTCTTTTGGTGTTTATAACTGAAGTTAAGTAGAATCTTTTTTTTCAAGTAGAAAAAGCCCAGTTTTACAGTGAAGGAAACTGATATTATGTCTGTTTTACAGATCAAGACACTTGCCTAAGGTATCCATGCCATCAGCAGAGCCAGGGTTTCAATCAGGGCAGGTGCCAAGGACCTATGGCTGAGCATTCTGTGATGCTGTCTTTCTCCAGACACAACTAGTATTCATCTTTTGGGGCATCTACTTCCATTCTTTTACAAAGTGGAATGTCCCTGTCCATTGTGTACTCTTTACACTTATATCATGAACATTTCCCTGTACTGTGAATCTTTTACAACATGACTTTTAATAACTTTAATTTCCAGGCATGCAGGTCAATGCATTTAACCAGTTTCTCATTTTGGAATAATTGGTTTGCTTTCCATTTTTCCCTGTAATAAACTGCTGAGATGGACATACTTGAGGTTAAATTTTCACAAATTCACAATCGTTTTATTATAAGTTCTAAAACTGGATATTATGGGTATAATGTTCTGTATATTTTAAAAACCTCTGACATAGTGACGGTCCTCTGGATAGGGGATTCCAATTTGCAGCTCTATCTGCAATACAGGGACGTGCTCCACCACACCCATTAAGTCATTAACAGAAGAAAAAACTACCAATTTGGAATCGCAAGTACCTTTTAAATGGAATTGCACTAAAGATCAATTCAACCATTCACTCTCTACCATGGAGAAATAGCCCTTTTGCACGAGGAGGCATCTAAGTAATTCACTGAAGCTCTGTATATAATATTGAGAATAATGAACTTAATGTTCCCCAATCGGGGAATGGCTAAATTAGCTGTATTTCCACACTGCGGGACGTTCTGCAAGTGTTAAGGGGAGGGCAGGCTTATATGTTTTAGCGTAGACAGAAAGGGAGGCTCCGGCCACCTCTGCCAGGGAGCCTGGCTTGCTGTTAGAATTTGGTTTCTGCTGGCTGCGCCTGCTTTTCCGACGACCTCGGCTTTGCGCCGCGTCTGGGATTCTGCAGCAAGCGGTCTGTCTGGGCAAAGGGCACGGTTCCGGGTTCGTATCCCAGCCAGGCCCTAGCTGGTCAACCGACTCTGGCCACGGTGACGACCCTCCCCGGACTCGGTGTCTGCCCCGGACCTGCCCTGGCGAACCCGACCAACCTGGATCCTCAAGCCGTGCAGAGCAGCCGGACTCTTCGCGGCCAGGCCCCGAGGGCATCGGGGGCAAGTTTCCGCGGGCCACTCTCAGCAGCGCACCAACCGGAAGTGTCTGTATTGTGGCGGAAGGAGGTGCTCTCTGGGAGCCGCCGGTGCCGAAAGAAACGTGGCCGGCAAAGATGATTCAGGCGATTCTGGTTTTCAACAACCACGGGAAGCCGCGGCTGGTCCGCTTCTATCAGCATTTTGTGAGTGCGGCCCAGCTCGGTCATGTCTCTTCGGGGGAGCCGCGCCCTCTTCCCTCCCTTGGGGCCCTCCGGCGCACGCGGGCACCGCCCGCTGACCGCCTCGGGCTCCTGCACCGTGCGTGACCCTTGTCTTCCTTGACCTCCATCCCCGGACTCCGGCCAGTGGCAGGACTTCTGCCCCCCGCCCCGCTGCCGCCGCGCTCTCTGATCCTTTCCTGGACCTTGGTTTTTCTGTGCCATTTTGTGACACTTCTCCTTGGGTCTCGGCACTACAAGTGACGGGGCGGGGATGGGGAGGCGCCTTCTTGAGAACTTGATTGAAGGTCCTTTAATCTTGTTGGCTGTTAAACGTAGTTTCTTAAAAGGTTTTGCTTTCTTGGAATTAATTTTGCTTCAGTGTTGGCTGGGACTGCTTAGGGTCTGGATACCCATCACTCTACGTGTAGAGTTGAAGAAAAGTCAGTTTAAAAGTGAGAAATGATGAGAAGTTATAAATGCTGCCGCATGACGGCTCAATAAATAATAGGCACTTGAGTTGTCTAAAAACACTCCTCTAGAGAAACGCAAATGCTCCTGCGCCCCAATGTTTTATTTCTTCGCAGCTATATCTAGGTTTCGAACTGTTACATGTATGGTAGGTGGGCTGGTGAAACCGAAAAGGAGAAAGTCAGAAAACTTAAAATTCAAGCCTCAGCTCCCCCTTTTTTTTTTTTTTACACCCTTGTGTCTATTGACAAGTTAACAAACATCTTTAAGACTGTATTTCCTCATCTGTCAAATAGAAATGAAAAGAATAATTTTACCTTTTTCATATAATTTTTAAAGCTAGATTAGATTTTTATTAATTATAACAAGGTAAAATATTAACATCTAATAGAATTATTCAATTTGTATTTGCTTTGTGTGTGTGTGTGTGTGTGAATCTTTCCTTTTTTTAAGTGTTATTGAGGTAGAAGTCGTATACCATAACAGTTCACCTATTTAAAGTCTGCAATTCAGTGTTTTTTAGTATGTTCACAAGTTATGCAGCCATTACAATTTTAGAACATTTTCATTGCCCCAGAAAGAAATCCCTACCCATTAGTATTTACCCCCTCAACTCCACCAGCCCCAACAACCAGTGATCTAGTTTCTGTCTCTCTGAATTTGTCTATTACAGACATTTCATACAGATGGAGTCATACAATATGTGGTCTTTCATGATTGGCTTCTATTACTTGATATAATGTTTTCAAGAGTCGTCCATGTTGTGGTGTTTATCAGTTCTTCATTCCGTTTTATGGCAGAGTTATATTCCATTGTATGGAATTTTAATTGTCCATTGGTCAGTTGGTCTTCCCACCCACAGCTCCTGTGAATAATGCTGCTATGAACATGCATATGCAGGTTTTTGTGTGGGCGTGTGTTTTCCATTTTTCTTGGTTATATACCTAGAGGTAGAATTGTCAGGTTATATGCTGTGTGGTGAATGTTTTGAGGACCTGCCAGATTTCTCCGAAGTGGCTGCACCCTTTCACATACCATCAGCAATGCATAGGAGGTCCAATTTCTCCACTTCCTTATCAATATTTGTTATCTTTTTGATTTAAGACATTTTAGTGGGTGCAGAGCTCATTTTCATTGTGGTTTTAATTTCCATCTCCCTAATGACTAATGATGTTGAGTATCTTTAGTGACCATTTGTATATCTTCTTTGGAGAATGTAAGATTTTTCTAAGAACCAAATTAGTTCATGCATAAAAATTACCTTACAAACCACAGAGTACTAAAAGATATGAGAGATTATTAAAATAATTGAGGCATGTAAGCAATTGGTAGCTTACACTTGTGTTGAATTGGAAATTAGGTGGCCTCACCATTTCATACCACTTCCCCACTGACTACTGCCACTTCCTCCTCAGTTGAGCAAAAAGGGTTTAGTTTGAAAGATTGTTTTCGTCCGTTTAAAAACGTGAAACTTTTTTACTTGGCATGTTTTGTATTACCGAGTACACAGAGTTAATCTTTTACATCATCCTGTCATCTGTGAGCTTTTTGAGTTCTTTAAATAGAAACCAGGAAAATAGTGATTGGTTTACTTGAATTTATGAAGACCAGTGATTAGCAAGTTTTCATTCATCCATTCAATAAATGCTAAGAGCTACTGTATACCCATTTTGAGTCAAAATTATGAAACGTAATTTCTCCACAGTGACATTTTCTGTTTTTTTCTCTCTTTTCTTTTAGATAACTAATCATTTCAAACCTAAGTTCAGTCTGTAGAAAGAAAGGGATTAACATTACTTGAATCTGTTTTCTGACTCTTGGGGCACGTCCAATCTGAAGGTTTTCTTAAGCTTTGCTACCCAAAGTGTGGCCCACAGACCAGCAGCACTGGTGTCTCCTGGAAGCATGTTAGAAATGCAGTCTCAGAATTTACCCCCGGCCTACTAAATGCCAGTCTGCATTTTAACAGCATCCCCAGGTGATTCATTGTACATTGAGATTTGAGAGCATTGCTCTAGAGCTTTTTATTACTTTTGTCTTAATGACTGGTTTCTCCCTCCCTTCATCCTTTTTTAAACTATACTTATTAAGAACCATATAGATGTAAATAGGAATCAAATGTGAGTTACCAAGAGATTCCATCACAGTTGAGCTTCCCTGTGTGTCGCAAGTGAATATTAAGTGAAAAAAAATATTTGTAGCCCTGCGATTGTTCAAAATTCTGATCTGTAAATAGAACTTTTTTTCTCAATACTTTTGTGGAGAGTAGCATATCATCTTACATGTGCTACCTCTGTTACTTTACACAAGATGGCAAGCTTAGATTTTTAAAGTATATACACTATTACATCTTGACCTCTTTGAAGTGTTAGACCTGTTTATATTTGTTATTTACCCTGATAGATGTTTTCTAGGGGACAACAAAATATTTCAGTACCAGGCCTTCTAGTTACTGTTCTGCCTTGTATGAAAGTTGATCCATTCTCCTTTGCTTGGTTATTAACTGTAAAGAAATATTAGCTTGTTGATCAGGACAGTAATAGTTGTGAGTAGATAGCTAGGTAAATACACCCTTCTTAATTCCTCTAACAGACGCTTGTCACCCATTTTTCCATAGATTTCCCTTTTATTTTTTCTCTACCTTTTTTTTTTTGGTACCAAATCATTTCCTGCTTGGAAGCACTTCTCTCCCTGTCCAACTTCATCAAGGAATATAGTTTTTCAGACTTCTCTGCTTATTTGCTTTATTTCTTTTATTCCATAGCCAGAAGAAATTCAGCAGCAGATTGTTCGAGAGACCTTCCATCTAGTTCTCAAGCGGGATGACAACATTTGTAACTTCTTGGAGGGTGGAAGGTAAATGATTGGCTTTTGTTTTCTCCCCATATGTCCACGTTTGGGTGGCCTTCATCAGCAGCACTTCTTCAGGCAGCACCCAAGTGTCGGGTGGGTACCTAAAGCGCTGTGAGCTGATCTTAGCATGATCTGCTCAGACAGAGACTCAGTTCTGTTTCAGAAGCTGTTGAATGGTTGTGCTCCAGATATTACTCATTAGAGGTTTGGCTCCTGGGAGGATGGGCAGAACGTGATGTAAGGTAAGGTGGCTCTAGGCATCTCTGCCAAATGTGGTTGCCATTCACCTGGTAGAAACGGCCCGTTGTTTGGCCTGTCCTCCCCATTTCTATTGGGCCTGTTTTCATTCCTTGGCACAGGGTTTCTCTTTGATCTGCTTAATGAAGATACAGGCATTTAAATGTTTTCCATCTTCCACAGTTTGCTTGGTGGCTCTGACTACAAACTGATTTATCGGCACTATGCTACCCTCTACTTTGTTTTTTGTGTGGATTCATCAGAGAGTGAACTTGGGATCTTGGACCTCATCCAGGTATGTGTAGTCAGCTAACAGTGGCAGTCATTTTAAGTTGGCCCAGGGTTTTTAAGTAACCCTCTTGTAGAGCCTTTTGTCAGTCTCTTTATTGATACTGGTAAAAGTTGCTAGATGTCCACTATATGATGCTGTGCGAAGGCTCCTTAGCACCCTTATAAACTCTTAGAGCTTTTGGATTCATTGTTTCTACCCAGCTCTCTCACTGACCTTGGTTTTCATGTGTGATTCTGACACCAATTCTGATGTGTGTGTTTTTCCCCATCACCATTAAGCAGTTAACTCAGTTCTTCATGGAAATGACCAGTGTCCCACACACTTAACTAAATTCTGACACTGTCTACCTAGAGATAGACAGACACCAGTCGCAAGTCCAGGTTGTCTGTCACCTGTGCTTCTGACCAACTGGCTATAAATTAAAGGTTTGCTCATCCTCCTCCTTGGGCTCAATTAATTTGCCAGAGTGGCTCACAGAACTCAGGGTAACATATTACTTACTAGATCACCAGTTTATTCTAAAAAGTTGTAACTCAGGGACAGCTAGATGGAAGAGGGGCATAGGACAGGGTATGGGGAAAGGGCGCAGAGCTTCCAAGTGCTCTCTAGGCATCCCACTCTCCCAGCATCTCCACATGTCACCAGCCTCGAAGCTCTCCAGACCCTGGCCTCATTACATGGGTGTGATTGAGTAAATCATTGGTGATTGATTGCATCTCCAGCCCCTCTCCCCTCCCTGGAGGTGGTGTGTGGGACTGAAAGTTCCAACCCTCTAATCACAATGGTTGGTTCCCCTGGCAACTAGCCCCATCCTTAAGTGCTTTCAGAAGTCATCTTATTAATATAAACAAAAGACACCTTTATCACTCAGGAAATTCCTAGGGTTTTAGGAGGTCTGTGCCAGAAATGGGGATGAATACCAAATAGTTCTTAGTATAAATTACAACACATCATGTTTTGAAGTTTTTTTCAACTGTCCAACCAAATGACATTTAAAATTCTTACTTTATATTTTCACTTGTAATTTTAGCCTAAAACAAAGAAATTGATGTTTTAGTTGGTCTGTGCAATCTCGATGTAGGTTAACATAATTTTTGTTAGGATTTTTGAAAATTAAAAGTGGCTTATGCATTCTTTTCACTGCCTTCATGGAAACTGAGTTGTACAGGGACCCTTGACAAATCAAAAACTCTTGAGACTGAGAGATCTCTGAAATAAAAGGGTTTATTGAGCCTTTATAAATGCAGCCAGAGAAGGACTGAGTCCTGGGACAGGCAGTTTCTGCTTCACCAACCGCAGGGTCAGTTAACAGAAACAACTTGTCTGCCGGACTCAAGAAGCAGGACATTTCTAAGGGGTCTCAGGGAAGAAAGTTCCTTCAGTTTGCTTTGGCTGTGGATATAAAGAAGGTGGGCAAATGCGAAGCGGGAGGCCTAGGGATAGGTGGTCAGTTGATAGAGGCGGCTCGTGGATTGGTTGCTGATGATGGTCAGACGCTGTTCACGAGCATGAGGAATGCCGTAGTTCTGGGGACGTTCTAGATAATTGCTAAGTGATTTCATCCAGGAATGTGGAGTTTCTGGCTAGCTATGTCCCGTGGTTATTGACTGATTACCTTCCCATGTATCTCTCTCACCATTCTCTGGCCTTATGTCACTTAATTTTAGGACATTTCAGAATTTTTCCTTATCACCCTAGCTTGGGAACCATTAATTTAGTACAGTTTCATCATTTTACACATGGAATTCTAGGTGGGCTTCCTTGAATAAGTTGCTTAAGTAGACTACACTCAAATAGAAGCTTGTATTAAAATCTCATTAACAACAATTATGGAGAGCAAAACCCTCTGGCTGTAAAATACAAACTTTACATGCTTACAGCTGTGTTTTATTTTGTTAAGATAAAATTAGAGAAGCTAAACTTAATATTAAATTTAGAAGGGTCAAAAATGGCAAATTTGGGAGTGTTATTTTCAAATTTCAAATACACCAGACTCTTTTCTAAAAAAGTGATGTTCTTCTTGAACATACCAACTTTTAAAATTTATTCATACCTACTCACATTCAGAAAATGATTTAAGATGCTTAATTAAAAATTTCATGTGTCATAATCTTTTATCATACGTGAAAGTATAAATAAATAATGAAAACATCTAAAAAAGATTCATCTCTAAGATAATTTTAAATGCTTTCTTAACACCCCAGTCGGGTTAGACATTGAGAGGCAGTGTGGTGTAGTAGGAGGAGCTCAAGACCTAGAATCAGAAAGCCTGGGTTTGAGTCATGGATCCACCATCTGAATATGGAAATATTAGGTTGTAGAATTCAGTTGTAACAGTGTACTTTATGGTATTGTAAATTTTAGAATGCTGTAGAGATGTGCATATACCAAGTATGTTAGAAAATAAAGGAAATATAAGGGTAATACTTGAAATATTGAGATGCAGCTACTAGAGGAAATGTATTTCATATATCTGTATTAATAAGACAAACTATAACTTTATAATGTAATGGATATTTATTAAATATTGTGCATTGGATTTGGGAAGATAGATAAGTAAAAGATGAAAATAATAGGAACTATAGTGTTTGCTTTTTGAAAAGACAAAATAAAATCAAATAGTTGGCCTAATATAAGGAAGATAAAAGTCAGATAGGAAGCATCAAAATGATTTTAGAGGATGAAATACATAATTGTGTTACCGATATATTTGAAATAGCTGACTACCAAAAATAAATACCCAAGTTAGGTTAACAAAAAGGCACTTAATCCAATATCAGGATGAGATAAGAAAGGTTAACAAAAGCCCTGATACCCTAATGGGCTCAGAAGATTTTTTTTTTAATGTTGAAGTGCAATAAAACCTGTATATTACCTAAGTTATTTTTTAAACTCAGAATAAAAATATCATACTACTTAAGTGTATTTTATGGAGTAAATTGGTTGTGATCCAAACGCCTCTGCAAAGGAAAATGTTATTATATATTGCATATTAGTATTGGTACAAAATTACTAAATAAAATCTGGGCCAATAATCAGTTGAACCAATAAGTCATGAGACCTGGCTCTTGTTTCCGACTCCCCCATTAACAAGCAGTCTGGCCGTAAATCATTTCAGCTTGTTGCTAGTAGAATTTTGCTTTTTTATGTTTTGACTCTTCTGTGTGCGGGTTTGTTTTGATTTACAAGTGTACTAGATGTTCTCTTCTAGCTCAAAAATTCTTTCTCTCTCAAGAATACTGCATACTAGAAGAATTATTCATTGTGTCCCAACTGTCTTTAGCCTAAGGATACAAGTCAGTTTAACAAGGAAAAATTCTTAGAGTCTATTACAGCAGTAAGAAAAACAGTGGAACTAATACAGTTGTGTCAGTAGATGCTGAGAGAAATGAGTATCGAAATTATATTCCTGAAATACTCTTAAATTAGAACAGGAAGCATTTTTAAAAATTATTTAGTGCATGTTTATTTAGCATAAACTATTGTTGAAGAAATAATACATTTATGTGATTTAGAATTCAACAGGCGTATCAAGAGTACACAGTAAAAAATGTCTTACTTTCCCTCTCCTCTATCACCTAGTTTATTTCTCTACAAACAGCCAGTTTTAGTTTTAGAACCAAAAACCAGAACCTTTGTTATCTCAGGGGAGAAAGCTACAGGGATTCATAAAAACAAGAGTGTCTTTTACTATGTACTCTAATCTGAACAAATATTTGTTAGGAGTGATAAAAAAAAAATGAAGTTGGATAGTAAAGGAAGAGAGAGATGTTATCACTGTAAGAATGGCCTGATTATGTATCTAGAAAACCTAAAAACAAAAAACCCATCAAAATTTTATCAAGTAATGAATGTGAGCAAAATGGTAGCATATGAAATAACTCCATCAAAATTGAATTTCCGATTTCTGTGAAAACAAATTTGTAATTAGAGAAATTTCACTTAAAGTAGTGACAAAGGGTATGTAGTATTTGGAAATTAACTTAGTATGGGATACTTGACTTTGTTTCTAATGAAACAATAAAATCTTAAAGGAAAAACATAAAGGAGTATTTGAAATAAATGGAGCTACGAGCCCTCCCCTGCTGGGAAGAGGCAAGCATAGATGACAGTACTAGTCAGTAGATTAAGTGGGAAACCAAATATAATTCCATCAGGAGATCTAATAGGACTTGCTAAAGGGAAAACTTATCGGAAAAATGAATGGCCGCAAAATGTAAAAGTGTGTTTTGAGGGAACATGGCAGTAATAGGAGATTGGTTTTACTAGGCTTCAGAATATATAATGATTGGAGGTGAAGTTATATCTAGCTAGAAAATCCAAAAGAATCAACTTGAAAATAATTAGAACTAATAATAGAGTTCAGTAAGGGGACTGAATACAAGTTTAACATGTAAAATTTTAATAGCTTTCCCTTAACAATAATAAATTAGAAAATACATTTTAAAGAGGTCCACTCACAATAGCAAAACGTCCATAAGATATACCCAGGAATAAACATAAATAAGTTCTATACGAAGAAAATTTTCAAAATATAGTGAAAATGAAAGAAGAGAAAAATAAATGAATAAAACATACCCTTTGTTTGCTGAGAAAATTCATTAAAATGTCAGTACTTTCAGATTATAAAATTACTGAAAACCCATTTAGAATCCCAGTAAGATTACTGTTTTTAAAGTTATTTTTATTGTGAAACCTCTTGTATATACAAAAAAACATGCTAAACATGCCTATCCAGTTTAAAGAATGCCAACAAAATGAAGCTCTTGCTTAGCTTAAGAAACAGTACATTCTAGTCCCTTAAAGCTCTGTATGTCCCCACTCAGTTCATCCCCCCGTACACTGCAGCCCTCAGATTCTGGAGATGATCATTCCGTTGCTTCTCTGTACAGTTTTACCGTGTGATGTGTATTCCCTAAATGCTATTTTGCTTAGTCTGGAAAGACTGAGTGACAAGCAGAAACTTAGCTGTGTAAAGAAAGGGTAACTTGCCACTTTTAGACGAAGGTTTCCAAGAGAAAATAATCTGAACAATATGTCTCTGGGTCACCATCTGGCTTCAGTATCGCTGGAAGTTCCTAAGAGGCCTTTCTGGGGAGGTCCGAGGGCCATCATGCGAGTGAGCGCTGGCAAACGTAGAGCCTGCCCCAGTCGGCGCCTCGGGTTCCGGCCGGCCGGCAGGAGCACGAGGAGGAGGTCCGGACCGCTCCTCCTCTGCTTCTCAGCTTGCCTTGACTTTCTTCTTTATTTCAAGAGTATTGAAGCCGAACATTTAGTGGGGCTAAAATGAGTGTTCTCAGCTGATCCACACAGCAGAGCAGTAGAACAGACACTGAATAGTTTGATTGTTATTTTCCTTTAAACTAACACTGATAAAACTACCATAGGGCTTTATGCGAACTGTTGTGCTTATTCACACCTGCTGAAAACAGAGTTCCTGGGTCAAAGGGATTAATATTTCTAATTACAATGCATGTTGCTAGCTAGATATTCAGGAAGTCTGTATTAATTTGTAATGCCTCCAGGACTATATGAGTTTTTGTTTCTTACCAGCTCCAACACTGAAATATGTCATTTAACGTTTCTACTCAGAGGTAGAGTGGTACCTCACAAATGGCTGAATTTTTATTTTATTATTTACATCTTCGTTTTCCATGGGTGAATTTACAATGTTCTTTTTCATGTAAACCTCTTGTAATATAATTGAACCAGTTTCTCCAGATTACTCAGTCTCCCATTGTTTTTCTACTCCTAGTTTAACTTAAAGTTCCAGAAATGGAGTGGAATTTCAGAAATTTATGTTAAACTAGGAGTAGCAAAACAGTGGGAGATTGAGTAATTTGGAGAAACTGTATAATCATATGGAGAAAAGGTAACTCAGTTCCATATCTTACTTATGTATTAAAATACAGCTTGTTTTTAAAAGATTTCAGTAAATCATGTGCTACAAAGATTAATAGTATACATATATTTAACTGGAAACAGATGGTTTGGAATTTTGTCCCAGTTGTGATAGGAAAATAAACTGACTAGTGAAAAAGAGAAGATAAAGCATAGTTTCAACTTTATTGAAATGGAAATAACGAACAATGTAAATGAGCAAAGAACTAAAAGGAAGGCTGTGTAATGGTAAAGAAATATTTGTGAATATAATGAAAACTTAATATCCAAAACTCTAAAATAAACACAGTGATCACTGCATGCTAGACACGTACCATCCACTGTAGGGACACCTCAGTCCACAGGTCATGTTCCCGCCTGGCTTACGTTCTGGATGTGAGAAGGCGGCACATACACAAGGTCCTCTCTGAGGAAGTGCTCACAGGATGGTGTGATAGGGGTACTTCAGATAGGGTGCCAGGAGAAGCCTCTCTGAGAAGTAACGCTGGAGCTGAGTCTTGACTGATGAAATAGCCAGTCATTCAAAGAGCTGAAGAGTGGAAGAACTTGGGCAAGAGCATGTCTTTTCTGGGGTTATTCCATCTCATGCTGTTCCACTAACCCATTTGACATCCCAGTTGTTACATGGACTAAATTGTGTCATTGAAGCCCTACCCTACAATGTGACTGTATTGGGAAATGGGGCCTGTAAGGAACTTGTTATGGTTAAATGAGGTCATAAGGGTGAGGTCCTGGTCCCATACAAATGGTGTTCTCATGAGAGGAAAAGACGCCTGAGATCGCGTGCCCTCTCAATGTGCACGAAGCAAGGAGAGACCCCGCTCGGACACAGCAAGTCAGTGGCTGTCTGGGAGCCAGGAGTCCGCACCGGGAACCAGTCCTGCCAGACCTTGGTCTGGGACTTCTGGCCTCCACACTGAGAAAATTAATTTCTACTGTTTAAGCCACGCAGCCTGTGCTATATTGTTATAGCAGCCCAAGCATATTGTAAAATTTCTCTGGGAAATCTGACCAGTCTAAGGTGAAGAAAATGAAAAAGCTCAGGGGCGTGCCTGGGAGGCTCCTCAATAAATTGCCATGGAGCAGGGCTTCCCAACAGCCTTTTATTCTGATGAGTTAAAAAACAAGTATAATCAGACATCTGAGGAAAGCCTCCAACGTGGAAGATAGAGACTAAAACAAGCAGTAAAAGCAACTTAGAGGAAAAACAGACCTGCAAAGAAAGGAAAACCAACCAACCCCAATCTTTAAGCCACAGAGAATAAAAGAAGACAGAAAAAAACAGGCTGCCAAACAAACAATAAACAGAGAACAGAATGATCTCTTAGAAATTAAAAACCTGAGAGGAAAACAGGAGAGAAAAGAAAATAAGGAAGTCCAATACCCTGATATAAGGAGCTTCAGAAGAAAGATTAAGAATGTGAAAGGACGAACGAAATTCTCCACAAAGTGATTTGATAAAATTTCCACAAGCCGAAGGACTTGAGTTGCTGGATTGTGAGGGCTCGCTAAGGGGCCAGCACAGTGACCGAGAACAAGCCCATATTTAAGTGTGTGATCTTTGCAGTGAGCTATTCAGTAAGTGTTGAAAATACAGAGTTATGAGTAGTGCTGTCAGGAAGTTACTGCATGTGTCTTTTTGCATACATGTTGTGTGCAATATGGAGTAGAATTGCTGGGTCCTAGGGGATTAGTAAATAATGTCAAATAATTTTCCCAAGTGGTTGGAAATATGATTTCCATTTATATCAATTTATACTCAAAAACTGAAGGTAAATCAAATATCTACTTATAGGAGAATAGATTAAAAAATTTTGGTATGAAATACTGTACAGCAGTGAATATGAACACGATTTTATGACCTTCAACAGCCTGGAGGAATTCACAAACATTGTTGAGTAAAGGAAGCCCAACAGGGAGTACATGGATGACTCATCCATGTAATTCAAAGGCAGGTAGAACTGAGCTATGGTGATAGGAGTCAGGACGGTGGCTCTCTTTGGAGAGGGGGTACTGGCTTAGGGCAGGAAGGGGGCTTCGCGGGAGCTGGTCATACTCCGTTTCAGAATCTGAATGGTGGTTTGGAAAACATGATGTTTGGAAACTTCATTAAGCTGCACCCTTATCATTTGTACACTTTTCTGTTTAAATGTTATATTAAAAAGGTAAAAAATTAAAATTGTAAGTATGTTAATTAAGTTGATTCATGAGAAGATGTTTTGAACCTAATGTTAGTTGAAATTAGTGGGACCAAAGTATGTTAACTAGATGTTATGAACTGTATATAATGATGAAAAAATTAGGTACATGTATACACGAAGGCTTGGGGAAAGGGTATAGTATTGTAAGTAGTTGGTATTTCAGTTTGTTATTCTCTTATGTAAACTAGCATTTATAAAGGGGGGAGAAAGCCACATGTGCCTTCTGGTTGTGTTGCTAAAACCAGGTGTCCTGTCCTAGATTGTCCCTTTGCCATGGGATAAGTTGGGGGATGAGCCAATGCTGGTAGTTTTTTATTGTTTTTTGAGATTTATCATAAGGTAAATGGTATCATGACTGCTCCCTTTATTTTCAGATATGACATTTATGAACATGTGAATGTGGTTCTATTTCTCCTCTTTATCTGTTTCTGTTTCCTAGGTTTTTGTGGAGACCCTGGATAAATGCTTTGAAAACGTTTGTGAGCTGGATTTGATCTTCCATATGGATAAGGTACCTTCTCTCCCTCACCAGGATTACCAGAAAACCGAGAGTCTAGGACATCTCTAGCTATTCCAACACCCGAACGTCCTTTTGTTTTTGTTTTTATTCTGGGGATATTCCTAGACTCTGTTTCATTTTATCAGTTTAGTAGTTTTGGGGTATTTTGCCAAGTTCTATTACCAATTTTAACATGTACAAGACTATTACTGGGCCTGTACCCTGGTTCATCTTTCACAGATAGACTTCTTGATACAGGGCAATGATGTCACTAGATGACTGGCTCCTAAAGATGAGATAGATAGTTTTATGTTGATTATAAAATGAGTTTCCTAGAGATAGTCCAGTGACAATGATGCTTTGAATAATGATGACACAGGGGTTTTGACCCAGGTAGTAAACTTTATGTTTTTCTAGTACAGTGACTAAGACACCATTAACATAGTTTGAGGTCAGGTGATACTCGGTGGGGATGCACACAGAATTGAAGTGGTCCCCCAGGCACATGTTTTCAGATTCGCTGCGTAGCGGTGGTCTATGTCCTCACATGCCAAATAAAATGTGGCAGATGGTAAGAAAGGGACTGGGAACCGCCACATTCATTCTGCTCGGTGGGGCACACGCTGTACGCAGTGCTGTTCACGGTGGACGTGAGGGCATCTGAGGTCTGCTTGGGCCTTTAATTCAGCAGATTGCTGTCACTACGATCCATGGCCTTTGTAGAGAGTTAATATTTTTAGGAGACCACCACTCATTGCTAAGCCACGATCCTTGACTAATCTGTTTTCATCATGCTGAGATAGGTGTTTCAGATCCATCGTGGCTAGCACTGCTGTGTCGAGGACTTTCTTGTCATTTTCCAGTGACCTCTGTGGTCTTGGTTGACTCTCAGGGTTGCCAGGCGGCCCTTTGCAGACAGATGTGGTGAGTGCAGTCTCAAGGCTGGATGCTGGCACGAGTGGAGTTTTCTCTCCACATCTGGCTTGGCTCTGTGGCTCGTGAGCAGCCTGCTGCAAGAGTTACACAGCTTCAAGTCTTCTGCAGATACTTGACTTGGGGCTCCCTGGCAACCTCTCAAGGCTTCCAGGGCTCACTGGCGCTTTTGAGGTGGTCCTCAGAAAGGTCCTTTTCATGTGACAGGGTCTCAGACACCTCAGAGGCCTCTCGGCCCCCCTCTTTACAGGTGCTTGGAGTTGCTGTCGGCTTGTCTGTGAGGAGAGCCGTGGTTCCCCTCTGCACTAGTGAGGGGAAAAGGTTAAGATTGAAGGGACTTGGGAGTGTGGGGGAAGGAGGAATGCCTTTTAAAGACCTTATTGGTATTATTTTAAAACAAATTTTTTAAATTGTGATATACAAGGTGTTACCTTTGGGGTTACCACCTGGTTTCAGAGTGGAGTTCTTTGTGGGTGCCACCTGCTGCTTATCAGGTTGGAGATGGATCCACGTCTCAAAGCATGGGTTAGTGAGCTTGGGAAAAGGGAAGGTCACAGCAAGGGAAGGAAGGCACAGGTCTGCCGTCCTCCCGCTGACCGGTGCAGAGCTGTGCGGGCCAGTCTCTTCTGGAGTGGTGCCCCCACCCCCTTTCCTGGTGCCCCCCTTTTATCAGGCAACTGTGAGAGTAGCTTTGCCAATGAGGAGATAAACAAGCCCCATGGACACCAGGCAATCTCTTTAGGTGCCAGCTGTTTGTGGCAGTGGCCTGGGAATGCCAGCTGCCCAGTCTGAGGGCTCTGGGGATGGGGATGACACACCTGGGGAGGCAGCTGGCAGTCTCTGCGGAAGGTGAGCTTGGATCCTCTGCATTTTGTGTATGATTTAGAGTCAGCTTATAAGTTACACACACACATTGGAATTCTGATTGGAATTGCATTGAACCTATACAACATTTGAGGAGAATGTACATCTTTACAGTACTGAGTTTTAGGGTGTATCCATTTCTTTAGGTCTTTGAGGTTTCTCAATGAACTTTTATGATCTTTTCCAAAGAAGTTTCACATATCTTTTATTAAATTTAAACCTAGATACTTGTGTTTTATGTATGTGATGTTTTAAGTAGTCATTTTTGTTTATTGCTGCTGTATAGAAATCACTTTATTTACTTCACCTGAGTATTTCCAATCTTCATAGTTTTCACATCTTTTCCTTGCTTCGCCTGGCTGGGGAGGACCTACCGTGTGATACCGAGTGACGTGGTGAGGAGGACACCTCACTTTGTTCCTTCTTTCGGGGGAAGCTTTCATTCTGTCCCCATGACATACAGTATTTGATGTATCTATACTTTTTGAAATATAGTAGGTTTTTTGGCAAATATTCTTTATGAGGTTAAGGAAGTTTCTTCCCTTCTTATCTAGTGGCTAGAGAGTTTTTAGTCACAAAGCGATGTTAAAATGCATCAAAAACTTTTTCTCCATCTCTGAGTTCATCATGATTTTTTGCCTAATCATTCTCATACTGTTTTTAAATATTTGTGTGGCTATCTGCTCAAGCTGTAAAGCAATTCAGTCCTAATTATATTACTGGGCACGGCTTTAAAGGGAAGTGAAAGGTCATGAAATGTTCTTCTTTCTCATGTGTCTTATCTTCAAATAAGTTCCATAAAATATCTTGCTTCTGCTGCAAGTTTCCTGTATAAGACTTTATTTTGAGTTGTTCACATTACATCACAGAGTTACTGCTGCCCGTATCACCAGAAGTTACTGAAAAGTTGTGATGCAAGGAGCCAGGATCTCCTCCTCCTGAGCTTCCACCCGTCTAAACGTATCTCGCTCAGGTGACCGTTCCAGTGGGATTTCAAGCCTGTCATTGCCCCTCTACCCTCCCGCAGAGTAGTTATTAATTCAGGCGTATCTTCTGCTAATAATGGAAGATGGTCTTTTTACTCAGGTAGGCAACGCACCTGACATTAGGAGTAAGACAATAGGAGTGTCCCCTTGGATTTCCTCCTTCTGCGCTGGAGAGTCCACCTCGAGTCAGGAGCCCCTGTCACTGCCTGGACCTTTGCCCTCTGCTTTGATTGTCACAGCGCTGCCCCACCTCCCTCAGCACATGTGGCTGGGAAGTAGGCCTGTGTGAGGACCAGGTATACCGGTTCCTGCTGCCCCATCTATTTCTGTCTAATCTCAAGATTTCCTTTCAGATACCTTACGTGTCTTCGTTGATGTCCTCTTTATCACTGCTGTTGTCGTCACCTCTTTGCTGTCCCTTCCTTCTTGTCTTAAAGGAGGGTCTGTTCTATTCTATTTATGGAGCTAAGTCCTCTCCTGTCTCTCCCCAGCACACACCTAATCTCGCTGCTTCATCCCATCTCCAAGGTGTCCTAGATGTTCCTTCTGCAGCTGCGGATCTCCCCAGATTGCCCCAGTCTCTCACGGAATACGGCTCGGCCTGTGCTTCTGCCCCCTTTTAACGGTAGTTCCGTCTCCATCGTTGGATTTAAGATAAACTTCTTGAACGACTGAGTGGTTTACACCCAGTCTTGCACTTCTACTTCATCTGTTAGATTTCTGGGGCCCAACAGCCTGATTTTAACCCCTACCCAAAATTCACGGCTGATTTCCTAATCCCATTTGCCATTCAAACATTCTTCAATGTTTTTGCAGTATTTGATGTTATTGATCATTCCATGGACCACTGCTTAATCCTTTTTCCCCCTTGTTTCTGTCACAGAACCCTCTTGGTTTTTCTCTTATTCTCATCCCCCCTTCTAACACTGAATTACGTCGTCAGTCATCTCTTACCTCACTCCTCTTCCTCAGGTTTCTATCACAGATCTCATCCATTTCTCATACTTAAACTATTATCCATCTAGGTAATTCCCAAACTGATAATTTTCTAGTACTGATGGAAGGCCTGGGTCCTGTTCCTGTATTTCCACTGCCTGAGGACATTTCTTCCTTACCTCATTCTCGCATTTCATTGCTTTTTGCCACTTCTTCTCCAGCACCAGCTTCAGTGTGCAGCTCCTGAACACCGTTGCTTCCCCAGCTTCCTCTGTCTCGTGGTGCGGCCGTCGTTCCTGTTCTGTCAGATGTTTTCAAACCTTTCCTCCCTCCTCCCTCCTCCTTGCCCCCGGCAGCCGGTCGCTAAAACCCATTGCTTCTTCTGTAAAGTCCTTCTTGTATGTTGTTCTTTTGAGGGCTCGCTAAGGGGCCAGCACAGTGACCGAGAACAAGCCCATATTTAAGTGTGTGATCTTTGCAGTGAGCTATTCAGTAAGTGTTGAAAATACAGAGTTATGAGTAGTGCTGTCAGGAAGTTACTGCATGTGTCTTTTTGCATACATGTTGTGTGCAATATGGAGTAGAATTGCTGGGTCCTAGGGGATTAGTAAATAATGTCAAATAATTTTCCCAAGTGGTTGGAAATATGATTTCCATTTATATCAATTTATACTCAAAAACTGAAGGTAAATCAAATATCTACTTATAGGAGAATAGATTAAAAAATTTTGGTATGAAATACTGTACAGCAGTGAATATGAACACGATTTTATGACCTTCAACAGCCTGGAGGAATTCACAAACATTGTTGAGTAAAGGAAGCCCAACAGGGAGTACATGGATGACTCATCCATGTAATTCAAAGGCAGGTAGAACTGAGCTATGGTGATAGGAGTCAGGACGGTGGCTCTCTTTGGAGAGGGGGTACTGGCTTAGGGCAGGAAGGGGGCTTCGCGGGAGCTGGTCATACTCCGTTTCAGAATCTGAATGGTGGTTTGGAAAACATGATGTTTGGAAACTTCATTAAGCTGCACCCTTATCATTTGTACACTTTTCTGTTTAAATGTTATATTAAAAAGGTAAAAAATTAAAATTGTAAGTATGTTAATTAAGTTGATTCATGAGAAGATGTTTTGAACCTAATGTTAGTTGAAATTAGTGGGACCAAAGTATGTTAACTAGATGTTATGAACTGTATATAATGATGAAAAAATTAGGTACATGTATACACGAAGGCTTGGGGAAAGGGTATAGTATTGTAAGTAGTTGGTATTTCAGTTTGTTATTCTCTTA